CCGAATGAAAAGCTATTTCGTTAAACATTGCGCAATTATTGCGTTCGTAAATTAATTTTCCAGTTCTTTTGCTTCGCAAGGTTATCGCGTAATTTCGAGTAAATGATTCGCGAAATCCTCTTACATAAAGACTAAGCTCGATAAATTTTCAAACCTGATTTTCTCGAAAGCGAAGCATCTTGCAGAAAAATTTTACTCTACGCAATTTCACTTGCACGTGGAACAACCCCTTGTCAATTATTTTTTCCTGCCTGTAATTACTTAAATTCTCGATAAATTCTCAAATTTGATTTACTTGATTTACTCGAAAACCTCCTATCGATTGCTCTTTTCCGTCGCGTTCAGAATTAGTTAAATTCAATACTCGATGAATTTTCAAACTTCGCTCGAGAACGAAGGCTTTGATAAAAAAAATTTTGTTCCTTCCCTTCCCGACACATTTTTGACATGCAGAATCAGGAAACACCCCACATAAATAACAATCAAGAATATACACATCTTCAACTAATAATTAATTCGACTGTTTCAATCGAATAGCCCGTGTCAAGCGAACCATCTCGCTTCTCGTAAATACTTGGCGAAGTATTTACACTCGATGCGGTGAATCGGTGCTCGGTTCGAGTCGAAGGGACAGGGCCTAACGAAAGGAAAACGAGACGAAACGATACGAGATGGATCTGGCCGAGATAGACGGCCGTGACAGACAAGACAGACAAGAGGCGAGGGTGAATCGAACGAATCGGAAGAACGCGGGAAGGAAAGGTGGAAAGTGAGCCAGCGGTGATTCAGCTTTTCCTTGCGTCCCCCACTTTAGCCGGGTTATGCATCCAATTCCATTTCCCATTTCAACTTTTCTCATCTCTAACGGCTGGCTCGTAATGGCGGTGGTCGACGCGAGCGCGCGCGCGCCCGCCAGAAGTTAAATACCGTTACCGTAATGTTCAATCATTATTTCTACCATTAAAATAGCACCGAGGGTGGGACGAGGAGGGGCGAAAGACACCAAGAATAGCCTCGAAAGAATCGCGTCAGGCAGAAGTAAAAAAAAAAAAAAAGAAAGGAAGGAAAGAAAAAGGGAAAAGGAGAAAGGTTTAACTTTGCGTGAAGGGAGGGGAATCAGCTGCTTTCGAAATGGCTCCTCCACTACGCCTGATTCTCCGTAGCCGCGAAACGTAGCCGGAGAACTTTCCCGGAATGAATAGCATGAAAATCAGCCAACGACCATTCTACCTTTTACCGAGCGAATCTCCCCGGTGCTTTGATTTTCCAGGTGAACTTTCAGATTTGAACGATCGCTAAGGAAGCAAGTAGAGCATGATATTGTGCACTTGTAGCCGACTTCATTGGCAATTTGGACTTTGGATGTAGGTAACTACGAAGTAGGTAGTTTCGAGGGATTCGAGCATTTTGATCGAAAATTTTTTATTAAAAAATGTGAGCTTCCTATTAGGAAGTTGGATAATTAAAAAGAAAATTTAATAGCACGACACCGTGTGCTCGTGACAGTTCTATTTTTATTGATGATTTTGGGGATTAAATTAGTTGTCGTTGTTTGAGCTTCTGAAAATTTCTTGTTTTCTCTCATTAGAATCGAAAGAGTCAAGCTCTTTTTTTTTAGAAATTATTCCAGCGTACGGCGTACCGTCTTGTTGCAACATTGAAAGTTAACATTGAAAATTAATAAGAAAACAAAAATTAGAAGACCATCTCGTTCTCTATAACTTTAAGTATTTTTTTTTTTTTTGTCGTTTAAAACAAAAATGTTAATTTTCGCATCTGGTAACTAACAATTGTTATAAATATTTCTAGTACTGATGGAATACAACAAAGTAGCAAAGTACAGAAAATAACATTTTCAGATCTTAGATGTGTGGGATATGTAATTTTCATTTGTACGATAGAGGATTGAGATCACGATATTGTGGGCTTGTACCAATTTTATTGGCGATTTATAGGTTTTCAAAATATCCAAGCGTCTGAGATTTTCCTTGAATTATTTTCAAACGAATAAGATGAAAAGATCTGAACTTTTTAAAGACTATTTAAAAAATAAATACTTCGTATTGAAGAATATTAATAAAAAAAAGGAAGATTAGATAATTAAAGATAATACAATTTACACAGATCATTCTCAAAATAGTTACTTCATTTCATTCGTTTAAATTTTCAAACACGATACGACAACGATAATCAATAGATCATTCGATGTACTATCATTCAATCGTATTAATTAACCAAAATACGAAAGTATCACGGAAAAAAAAGAAAGGAAACAAAAGAAAATACTTCTTTAATTAACAAAAGCTAATTCACCTGCAAATCGCGCAGTTTGCACGATTTGCACGCCTCTAACGTTCCTGAAAATGCCATTATCCAGGCCCACGAGCTCTAGAGAGGGGCTGAAATTGGCCTTCCAAAACGAAAAGAACTTGGATATCTAATTTACACGTTCGATCGAGCCCGGACGGCGAGAAAAAGAGAAATATTTAAAAGCGAGATCGCGGGTGGGGAGGGAATAGGGGCGGATTGATTACGACCGCTCGGAATTACCTCGCTTCATACAGAGAGCGCCGAGAGAGAACGGGACGAAGAAACGAGCTAATGATAAAAGACAAATACCAGAGTAGGGGGAGAAGGACCGAAGAAACGAGGCGCAGAGGACGAAAAAGAGAAACGAGCGAGGTAGAAGAGAACGAAGAACGAAAGGGAAGAAAGCTTCATCAAGCCGATCGAAAGGATCTCGTCGCTGTTTGCCTTCCGCTATTCCCCCCCCCCCCTCCCTCACTCTTCCCCTTATTCTTCCCTTTCGTTTCGTTTCGTTCCATCCTCCTATTTCCACCCGGCCCCCGTCCTAAAGCTAGACGGCGAACGAAAATTTCGCGAATTTATACACGGTAGTCGGTGGTAATTAGCCGAAATGAGAATTGGTCCTGGGCTACGAAAAGCTCGACCCCGAGGCCCCGGGTCGCTTAATTGAAAGCGACGACGCTTCGTTGAAAAGTCGGATTCCCGGTCAATGCGCATCCATTCTGCAATTACATGAACGGCTGCGCTTCGAGCAATGGAAATGCGGCCCCCGTTGTACGATGTTGAATTTTAATAAAACGGGGGAATCGGTAGCCGGCCGACTCTGGGTATTATCGGTATCGCGATACCCGTGAACATTCTAACGTCGCTACCGACTGGCTTTCAACCGGTTCGCCGATCTTTTTCTTTCAAATTAAATCGCCGACTGCAACGAACGGAGATCGTGGAATTTAGTTTCGTTTTCAGTGTCTTTCCTATCGTACTGTAATTGGAGATTATTCGTGAGTGGAGTGACGAGTACGTTTTCGGTCAGTATTATGTCACTCGTCCCTTTACACAGATCTTTTAATTATTATTCGGCTGTAAGATAATAGCCGAAGTTTCAAACTTTGCCAGTGTCTAGCAAAAACTCTACAGATGATTCGTTAAAGAATTGTAGCGAAAGTATAAAGCGTGAAAAAAATAGGAAATATAATTGTAAATGAATTGCATTTTATACTGTTGTTAAAATTTTTACACAACATCCACTGTATATTGCATTCTTCCCGCGTACGTAAGAAAAATAAGTGAGCCAAATGGTTTCTCATTAGCTTTAGTGATATTAACATGTACACAAACATGTTCATACATGGACGAAATAATAAATACGTAAACGTAAATAGGTTTTCGAAACGGATACGGAATAAATCGAACTCGCAACAGCTAAAATATTACGTGAATTTTATTACATCTGGTGATACTTCAAATAGAGATAGCTCGATTGAATTTGATCTTTGTTTTGCCCGTTCCGTCGATTCGATGGAAGGAAATACAAATGGATTTATGATCGGCGATAGTAATTGGCCGAAACGATGATTGAAAATGCCTTGCAGCGTTATTCAATGCTTAATTGGAAGCGAGAAAACTTCTAGAGTTTCATTTATATCAACTACAGCGAAAAGAACGTTCCAACATTTTTACATATTTTCACTCTGGAATAATATTTTCAATTTTGCCGAGAACAAGAAAAGGAAAAAGGAAACGAGCAAAAAAAAAAAGAAACTAATCGATATTTTCTTCTTTTACATTCCTTCTTTCAGCTAAGGACCGTTATTTCATTCTGCCTTTAATTAAAAACTTTATTATTCGCGACGAACTTTTTAATAACAATTTATTTACATTGCAAGTACTCAATATCTTTTCAATGAATTCTTTTTGAGTTCTTTTCAATGATTTGAAAAGAAATATTCCGTGCTGTGTAGTTTATTGTACAAGTACTTTTTAATTAAATTAATCGCACGAGTACTTTTATTATATTTTATTATTATAGTTTATAAAAGCCTCTAAATTGCAATTTTCTTACATTCCAAATAATTTCGAGCATAAAGACAGATTATGAAAACTTGTTTTATTCATACATCTCGAAGAATTATTTCATCCTATATTACAACAAATGTATTATACTGCAAGAGACGGATAAATATTAATTTCTTTTTCCTAAATGAAATCAAATATTTCCAAAATTTTCAAACATTTCAAAGAAAATTGACACACGAATGCTATTTGATCCTGTTCCGTTATTTCCATCATTCTATCTTCAGTCACACGAGAAAACGTCTCAAAACTTGCGCAGAGACGAAAAAGTCCAATTAAAAGGCAATAGACACGGATGCGCGAAGTGTTACCTTGCCATGGTTGCCAAGGCTGGTGTTAATATTCATAAAATGGCCGGTGTCCAGTTTTAATCAGACTTCCAGCCGGCGTATAATAACGAAAATAAAACTTCCTGTTTAAATTTCGCAGAATTATTGCGAGACAGCGTGGCGTCACGCCGCTAAAAAATAGCACCCATCGACTCGAGTTATCGCGGACATTAGAGAGAGAGAAAATTCTACAATTAGTATTAGAAATAATAACCCACCGTAATTTAATTAACGTATAATAATTTAATAATTCTAATAATTGAAACCATCAAAACAAACGGCGGTACTCACTCATTTTTCAATCACGCCAATTTCGGTCCGACATTAGCGAAAGAAACAAGAGCTTACCTGAAACAAACAAGAACAGAATCCAGTTAGTTACGATATCTAAATTGCAAAATACTAAATATAAACATTTAAGAAAAAGAAAATCAGATATTACTTTTAATATTATTAACGAAATACATATTGCTACAAGTAATTACTTCATCCAAGTAATGTTTAACTCTAGGTTCTTACGTTTCTCTCTCTTCGGTCAATTGAGTCTCTCCGTTTTATCGACGCAGTTCCTACTTTGTAAAAATCAATGCGCACGAATAATAATAAATCGCGTAATGAAAATTGCGCCAACGAAAATTGTTCCACCGAAAATTCACCGGTGGAATCGAAATTCTTTGAAAGCTGCTGCTCGTTGAAAAATTTACATCACAATGCGGCTGTAATGCAGTTTACGTTCGCGCAGCAGTAGCAGCGAGGTCCGTATTCGAGTTCATTATGCTGACGCAAGAAACGAATGGTAACAAACACATACTCGTCTTTTATATCGTTTGTCTAACCGTACTATTTTCGGATCTTAATCAATTCTGCCTTGAACTACGTATTTACTGTGACGTTCGACTTATGTGTTGAAGGTTTTTCCACTGAGTTACAGTTTTTTTCAGGAAAAATAGAAGTCAACCGCGTCTACCAAATAAGTTTACATCGCGAGATATCTGACATAAACACGAAAGTTTCAGAAGAGTTTGCCTCGTGCAATTTTTCTTTATTTAAACTTCAAACTTCACTGTCAATAATTATCTATTAATCTGTTGATCAGGTTATTTCTATATTCGGGATATTTCTAGATAAAGATGAACAGATTTTTGTTCAAGGAAATTTTAAACTTTAAATGTAATCGACCTCTAAAACTGCAGATTTCCGTGCACAATTCACACTTATAATAGAATCTCCATTGCAAATTATTTTACTTCTGATATACACGCAACCATACATTATCATATTATATTCAATATATACTACTATAGTTCTAATATTTAATATATTTCTTCGCACTGTATACAGCCTCTGCTATTTTGTATTTAAAACTTTATTAAAAGCATTAACGATATCAAATTTCATTCAAGAGAAACAATGTAATGTATTAAAAATACATCTATCGATAAAAGAAATCATTATTACTTAACTTGTCTTCTTAGTTAACAAGTTAAACAATTAATTTACAACTTACTTTTATTGCAGTAAATGATTAAGTATTAGAACCAATTGTAAATATCAGAGTCTATTGTAACGACCAATATATTAGAAACTATTACAAATATTAGAATCTACTATTTTAATTATGTAATTTCCAACGATACTGTTCTTTCAATACTTTTACACAGCGCTGTATCGATTATTGATCAACCATTTTAATCAACGAAATTTAAATTTCGTGTATGATGCTGGCTCTCGGTTATTTAAATATAATTACAAAAATTACAGTTTGGTGTTCACTGGTCAAGGATCCAGCGGTGGATCGATATTGATTCCGACCGTGTACCCAGTGAAATTTCAGCGATGCAGAATATCGAGAAACATCCCCCTGCCCTGTTCGCCTCTCCTCTTGGACTGCTCAATTTATATTCCTCAAGCTTTAGCCGGCGTTAGTTCAATTCAAATCAGCCCACAGTTGCCGGAGACTGACGTCGATATTTCTATTCTGCTCAAACTTGCCCGCATTAATATTCATTGTGATCACGTTCCCCGACCTTAACTCGTAAACACTCCCTTCAAGAAAATCCGCCTTAATGACTTTCCCGGCCCGAACTTGCATCCTTTTCGCAAACCTTACTTCCATGCAATTGAAATTGTAATCGCACGTAACATCCATCAATCTGAAACGACGTTTATTTCGAAGCGTTCTGTAACTATTAATATAAAACAGAGACAAATAAAGATAGAAAAGTTTCCTTCATTTCCTTTCTGTCAACTTTCATTCACACTACGTTTCATTATTTAATCTTTTCTTTCGCTTTCACTAAATTGAATCCATTATCAAATTTTAGTATATTACCTAGAAACAATTATTAAGATGGGTTGAATTCCCATTTAAATGTCGCGCTCTTCTATTAAAAAAATTCCACTACGCGATGACTGTAACAGAGTTTCTTAAACAAGGGAAAATTTTTTTCTGAAAAGTGTCAATTGTGTTGTTAAAAGAGTATATATTTGAGTTATTTTAAAATAATTAAATCTTATTTAATTACTTGTTGCTCTAGTATCATCATTTTCATTAAATAAACATTATTTATATTATACCTCTACGATAATAACCTACGATACTACACAATTACACATCATTAGAATATTCCTAGCGAACCCTGCTCCTTCTTGCGTCGAACCTCTTCTTCGCCAGCCAAGAGTTCTGTCCGACCAGTGTCGTAATCGCGGATCGTCAACCCCCTTGGCACGTTACGTTCGACCTGGTTTCGCCCTCCGCTTCCGAGTTAATTGCGTTTACGTGTAACCGAGGCTCGCTCTCGCCAAACAGAGAGACTCGGTTTTTTACGTGTCGACGGATACGTCTTAATGTCCTGTAAAATCCGGTGGAATTCAATGACCGCGGGGAGGGAGGGGATTAAGTGCGGCAGCAGCCAGAAAACGGGCGACACGAGCGGCCGAACAACCGGCACGGCGTATCCTTCAGCCACCGGCTGCGGAGACACGGAATTGCTTTCCCACGTGTACTCGTTTGGCTGGGACTACGGGCGATTTATCTTTCGCCGGGCGCAACGAGCGCCGTTCGCTAATGCAACGAACGCCCTGGGATAACGGCCCTGCTCGTTATTTGCATTCTTGCGAGGATCGTTTTGCGGATCGCTTCTTGCCTCCCCCACGAGAACAACGCGGAATTATCCCGCCGCGAAAGAAACGCTCCGCGTCGTCCGGCCCCGTCGTCCTCAATCTCTGCCTTTTTCTGGCGTTTCGTTTGATTTAGGAAATGGTAGGGGGTGAGAGGAGCAGCAGAGATGCGTTCGAGCAACGAAAAAGTAAATAGTTTTTGGTGGACGAGCTGAAACAATTTATAACGAATTCGTTCAGTGCCGTTTTTTCGACTTTTGGATGTGTTTATATGATGTTTATATCCTCAATTGTTACAGCCCTGTTGCAGATCTCTAATTACGTAGCAATTGGATTACCCGCTACGTATGATTTTAAAAATTTGTTGTCGTTCTTTTGTGTTTGATCGAATGAAATTAAATGCCTCAAATTCAAACGAATGTAGTTGTTCTTATGATATTTTTATAATTATATATTATATAAAACATTCTGGTATTTCATACTGGTCAAGTTTGAAGCAAATGTAAAAATAGAAATTACAAGAAATATTGCAATTAATATCACAAGAAACACTGTATAGAAATTACAAGATATTTAATATTTCGCAGAGGTCACAAAAATATCCAGACACAGCCACAATCCATTATATCAATTAACCTCAATATTTAGTCGAACCATCTTTAATACTTATAATACCTTATTACTCACATGATTAATTTTTAATTAAATATACGTTTACGATAAATATCTTGCAGCTTCTAATAAATATATTTCCAGAATGGTTTCAAATTTTCAGTGAGTAATAGTTGTCTCTTATTATTAAAATTCTAGAATGTTTTATACAACACATACAATGTACACGTGATAAATTATAGTTCTGTGGTAAATTTTCGAGTGCTTCCATGGATATACAAATGTGAAAGATAAATATTCGCAACGTTCGTTCAGTTTGGATTATTTATTATAAATTACTTGGTTGTGTGTGAGATAAAAATTGAAAACGAAATAATTCGAATATCACAGACGTTATGATAGACACGAATATAATTATTGATTTCTTTGTATGTATAATAAGAAATAATTTCGAGCATTCATAAAATTGTATACAGATTCAGTTATTATTAAAAAAAACATAAGATTAATGACAGATCCTTTTTGTTTTCGAATAAATAAATTTCGTGTATTATTTTTATTTCCTAAATGATAATAAACAAAATCCATCCAAGAAACATCTGAAGAAACATAGCATGTTCCATGAAATGTACGCCAAGTTAAGGAGAAAGTAAAAATACGAATTTAAGATGTAAGACAGAGAGAAATTATAGGACTTCTCCCGCAAGATGAAGATGAAAACAGAAGTCACAAGGGACCAAGCTTTTCTCGTCATTTCCTAGTATATCCTCTGACCTTTTACATGTCATCGTATTTTCTAATACTTGCTTGCTATCCAATTTTGTTCAGTCTTGTTTGCTACGCTTTCTTGAATCTACGAACCAACATTTAGTTAATTTCTTCTTTTTTTCTTCTTCAGGTATTTCACTGTGACAACGACAGTTAAAAACATTTTCAAAATACTGAATATCGGTCAAAATTATAGTAGCAAATTAATATAGGAAATTTAGCGCAGAAAGACTAAAATGGAAAATCACTTAAAAAAGATTTACAGGAAAAGGTAGTAATATTGTTTTCTGTACATTTAACTAAGTGACTCATTGGAAGCCATAACGATCTGGGATTAAGTTGCTGAATTTTCGAGTCGTTTGTTTCACTAAACTCTGTTACTAGATTGCCAACTTTTACGAAATGCTTGGTACAAATAAAGAAACAAAATCTAATTGAAAATTTATGACGACTACTCTACTTTAAATATTTTATACATTTAAATTTTCATACCTTTTAAATTTCGCACAAATGCATCAAAATCTACGATCTACTTTTTACCAATCTCCATCACGGAGAGATTAAATGCAAAACCAATTAAACAAATTTTGATAACTTAATACAAATTACTACACTCGTCTATAAACTGCGGATTTGTATATAATTTACATATGTATAATTGTATTATAAGTTGTCTATATATAATTTATGGATGGATTTAGGGATGTAAAAATGTGGAAAGCAAATTTACCAGCGGACACAACAAATTCCCACTTTCCCGTTTTTCTAAATTGTGCTCGTGAAAGTAGATTCACGGTCTAGTTATTCACACTCGAAAACAATAAAAAAAAAAGAAAAAAAAAAAGAAAAACATATCGACAAAGCGAGCTTAAAAATTTCATTTTCACGTAACAAGGCACACGCAGGTAAAATGATAAATCTCGCAAAGAGATCCAATGTTCGAGCACTATCACTGGAAGCGATAGCGCCCCAGTGATAGTTGGTGAAATTATAGCGACCAGTTACGGGGCCGGCTGCCGGCTAAATTCGCGATTCCAAGGACGTTTTCACGGTTGATACGGCGACCGGAAGAGAGCGTATACCAGCCGCCTCCATTGTTGGTGGCCCATCGACACTGACCCGATATTCGTAGAGAGGAGACACGGCGCGCACGGAACCTATCGGAGCAATTAAACTACCGGTAGGACAGGGGGGTAGGGTAGTTGTGATGTCACGGCATAACGGCGGCCATTAAGATAACATGCCCGAGGGTGATTAGCTTGCCTAATTACTGCGAGACGTCGTGGCACGGCTACGCTCGCCTCTGCTATCGGACGTGGTCCTCCTCCCCTTTCTCACACGAATCTTCAGCACACCGCCGGGCACACCTGTCGCTCACCGATCTCCTCTTCTTCGTGGCTTCCTTGTCGGAACAGGTTGCTCGCGTCAAGTGACGACGATA